TACACTGAGGCGTTTGAGTTATAGTCCCGCCATAATAATTGCTCTGGAGGAAAGGTCATTTACGATTAACTTTCCTATGGTCGGCCGTAGTCATGCTTCTTTCAAGTACAAAACGTATCGGGGAAGTATACCGCATTGTCTCTCCGAAGCCGGGGGAGGAATTATCAAAAGATCCATTCAAGGCTGCGTGAACTGCAGTCGGCCACAACTTGCAGCTGGCCTACGACATTAATCCACTGCCAGCGTCACTGGTGCACCCCGCCGTAGCGATTCTGGTATGGGACAGGCGGACGTTCCTGTATCCGCTTCAGGCTCGGCGGATCCAATTCTGCAACTCCCACCCACCAACACCCCCCCCCCCCCCCCCCCCCCCTCTCCTCAACAGGGACACCGGAACATTGTCAATTCGATAGCTTCAGTGAGTTGTAAAACGCCTAGAAACACCAGTCAACACGGATAACCGAAGCTGGCGTCTTTAAATAAAACACGTTTTGAATTGTACCTCGTTGGCGTTTTGCTGGCGAAAGAGGGCGGCTGACCCCCCCCCCCCCGGACCTCAAATATGCAACCAGGCTGTTCCGAGCTATCAAATACGGTTAAATAAAGTCTATGTATTTGGCTACGTGGATGCAAGCCGTATTGTGATGTGTTACACCACCGTGCATCGCATTTGGTATACACAGCGTGGCTTAACTGCGCGCTTAAGTAACCTGAACCCTCCTCGATTACCGAATAAGGTGTTCCATTTGCTGCACGTCATTCTTCCAGGCAACCGTAGCGTATCTAGTTGTTAGACATCGGACTAACACGTGCCTGTCCTGTCTCCCGTGCTGCTTAGATGGCTTGTTCTTTATTCTGTATCGTTAGGTTCAACTAAGGTCGTTCGTTCGGGTTCTACAACTTCTTGTGAGGTCATCTTATACCTGGCGTCACATAGTCACATCCTGTTGGCCGGGCAGTAGCTACGTGTACTAACAGTGCTATTCGTTGCAGTAAACACAAGCCTGAGGTATTGTATAGAACAGTCTTAAGGCGGTTTTTTTTGTTTTCACTGGGGCAATAACATTATTTTTGGAGAAATCTGCGCTATTTGATTTTTATGCGCACGGATAAGTGTCGTATCTATGCACGCAAACGCATGGTCTGATCCAAGCATGCTAAGTGGCCTTACATGAATGACTGCCTTAGAAATGTTCTATATGGCATGCACCTGCGATACTGTGCACGGAATTTGCTTTCCAAAATCTGTAATGACGCTCACAATATTGCCTCGTCGACAGAAATGGATAAATAATCACCGTTTACTAACACAAATCAACAACCCAATCACGAACCCTGCCCTGTTCTTCTGGCTTCTTTGATGGTAACCCTTACGACCGACCTCACCGCGCGGCCCCGCATTTCAGACGCACGCCTGAGGATCAAAATGCCGCCTTGGCGCCCCTGCTGGGCCGTCGGGACCGCAGTGTTGGATCGTCCTGGCCCCGCAGCGGCGCTGGACCGCCGGTGCGCGGGTACGACCGGTACTTAGGCGCTGCCCTGGCCGCCATCTGTCGGCCGCGCGCCAATACAGAGCTTCGGCGTTGTCCGCAATCATTGTCGCTTGGGCGAGAGCCAGTTGTGATTTGGTGCCATGCCTTCTGAATATAAGAAGCTTTATCGTGTCGTTGGTTGATCTTGGTTGGATTCGGGATCGGAATGACGTGGTTTGGTCTCGAGTTGTGTGACTGGGCGATCGGTCAGAAACCGACGTTGGACGCCGACCCCGAAGGAATGCATGTACCGTGTGGTAAAATGTGCGCGGTTTAGACACCAGGAACCCGCTCTCTACAAATGTCGGCTCGTACAATCACATGGAATGCCTTCAGTGCGTCCATCCGCTCCGTAAGTGACGAAGGGACGCACATGCGCATAAGATCCATGCTGCAATGCACGCCATACATTGCTGCAGCTCTCGGAGTGCTGGCGGGCAACAACCCGTCGGAATTTTGACCCCGGCAGCTGTAGGGGCGCTCGATCCGCTGACTTCCATACTCTGTCCATTTTCACACATCACAAACACACTGCACATACTAAGATGTGTACGCTCGAACACGGATGGGAAGGGTGTGAGCAGTGCAGACATGAAGTGCGTATACAACCATGATGACGCTGAGAGGTATCTGCAAAGACGCGTGCATGGTGTCAGCGAGTTGAGTGGTCCATGTCAACGAGTGCAGTGGTCCAAATCAATGAGTCCAGTGGTGCAGATAAGCGTGTCGAGTGGTCTAAATAAGCGAGTCCAGTGATCCAAATCAGGAAGTACAGTGGCCCACATCAACAAGCTGAGTGGTCCAAATAGGCGAGTCCAGTGGTCGGAATCAGCGAGTACAGTGGTCCAAATCGGTTAGTCCAATGGTCCAAGTCAGTTAGTCCAATGGTCCAAATAAATGGGTCCTGTGGTCCAAATCAGCGAGCCCATTGGTCCGAGGCAGCGAGTCCATTGGTCCAAGTCCAGCGGGTACAGTGGTCAAATCAGC